ACCTGGAAACAGCAGGTCTGGACCTGGAGACAGCAGGTCTGGACCTGGAGACAGCAGGTCTGGACCTGGAAACAGCAGGTCTGGACCTGGAGACATCAGGCTTGGACCTGGAGACATCATCATCAGAGGATGCAGAGCTGATGAGTGTATTTTCTTGTGTTACTGCTGGTGTACATGTGGAGCTCTGCACTGAGAACTGTTTTCTGTCTTTGGGGGCATTTAGGCTGTTTGCACCAGAAGCTTTTCTCTCTGCTTTCTGCTCTGTTTCTGTTTAAGACCACTAAGAAAACCTGAATGACAACATTTTCTAGAAGTCCAGCCCAGGTCTGTTCCAGTTTTTGTTCTAGTTCATCCCGACTTTGTTCCAACCCTCATTCTTTTCTGTTATTCTGTTTTATTTTTGCCTTCAGTCAGCATCAGAGGAGGTGTGTCATCTGTAGAGTTCAGTCTCTAAATAAGTTCAGTCAACATAAACAGACATGATGCCACCTACAGGACCGACTCATTAGAGAGCGCTCTGCCCCCATTCTCTCTTTCATTTCTTTCCCTGCCTCTCACTTCCTGCTTTTAGTTTCTCCTGTTTCTCGAGGTTGTTGTTTGTTTGTTATTCGAGGTTCTGCCTGTGAGTTATTTTGGTTCTTGGACTGCTCGTGTCACAGCGAGCCGGTCCTCGTAGCGTACGTCTTCAACACTGGTTTAGTGCTCGGCTACGTGTCGCTCTGGGTTCAGCGAAGAGCAACAGCTGAGCTTAGGATCATTTAAAGACTCTTTCTTGTCAAAGTGGACTCAGATCTATACGACTAAGTCAGATCATTGAACTATATGATGTAAATAAGTGGTGTGCTCTGGAAGCTGAACAGTTGCTGTGAGAAGTCTGTTTGTGTCGACACGCCCGAGCTTCTGGGACAACAAGCCAAGAGCTCCACTTGGACCATTCAGGTACTGGTTCCTGTCCGTCAGCTGGAGCGGACCAGCAGGGCTGAGCTGGACAGATACTGAGCCACTTTTATTTAACAGATATATATGATGAGTTCTAATCAGCCCTCTGCTCGTACTAAACCCTGACTGTAGTCAGACCGTTATGTCCTCTGACGGGACAGAAACAGAGTGTGTGTGTGTGTGTGTGTGTGTGTGTGTGTGTGTGTGTGTGTGTGTTGGTTGTTTACACTGAATGTGGCAAACAGCTCTGACCTTGAATACACTCCACTGTTCACCTCAGCTCTAGAGTCATTTGTGTGCACGCATTAGTGTGTGTTTGTACAGTAAGCACACATCTCAGGCTGTGAGTTGCATGCTGTTATTCATTTGTTTGTCTCTATGTGTGTGTGTGTGTGTGTGTGTGCCAGTGTTTTACTCCCCTAATGAACTATTTCACACTGAATCCATTTTTTTGGCACTGAGGTCCAAATTAAAATGAAGGTTTCTTGTGTGTGTGTTTCTGCAGCAGTGTTGCTTTGCAGAGATGACGTTGAGTGTAATGATGCCCTACATATGTATTTATGCAAATGTGTTATTTCTGCATTTATAGATCTGTCTATTTATCTCACATCCACGACTGTGTGTTATTCTGCGGCCTACAACAAGTCTCTATCTTTATTATCTCCTTTCTGTGCACTTTGGGTTCTGTGTCTCTGGAGAGTTGATCACACTTGAACCAAAGTGAAGGAGTTGCAGACATGATGCTGTCTTTCCTCATGTTCTCATCAAAGCATATTTAAAGTGATTTTGTGATGGAACATTGAAGTGTTGTAGCATTTAGCTAACAGAGAACTGAGTCAGGCGTCAGAAGATCAGCGGCTGTTTATTCATACAGAGCTTTTCAGACACAAGTTGTTCTCCAGAACCGAAGGAAGCAAAACAAAAACAAAAACAGTAGCCCTCCCCCTATTATTTTGTCCGATGATAATAAAACAGCATCAGATGTTCATGTGGTGGGTGTAGGGGATCATTTTGGAGTCTCAGTCGATGTAAATCACTGTCAGACCAGAAAGTTTGAACTCAGGATACTGACACTTGTTTTTAATTTAAAAAGACAGAATCATCATCATCACAGGATTCACAGAAGCAGTTTGGACTCATTCAGGAGTTGATCATTATTGATGAATTCTTCTTGTCTGGTGTCTTTGCGTCGACAACGAATGATGGAAACACTCAGTGCAAAGCAGATGCTGCAGCAGAGTGATGACACGACGTCAGCACAACACGAGGGACGCAAAGGTTCCACCTTTCACCCCCTGACACGGCTCACGTGTTCATTAGAAACTACTGCAGGTGACCTCAGGAAGCCGGTTGAGATATTGTCAGTGTTCAAAACTCTCATCAAGGCAGATGAGGAACCGGGTAGAAATGGTTTTCTGATCACTACATCCATCCATTTGTGTTATTTCCTCATTTTGAAGTCTTCATTTTATCTATGTTTTGTGCAGTTTTTGCAATTTTTGTCTGTATTTTATTAATGTTAAAGCACTTTGTGACTTTTGTCTGGGAAAAGCGCTTTATAAATAAATTTTACTTACTTACTTAGTTACTTCATTTTTTTCTGCAGTGTAGAAAATAGTAAAAAAGAAGCTCTTGAATGAAGCTCTGGCTGCTGCTGTATGGGTGAAACGGTTTCCATGGCGAGTTAGAGAGATAAGAAGGGATGATTACACCGACAAGCCGGAGACAAATACAGATGGCAGGAAGGAAGAGTTGACTGCAGAAGAAGAGGATTCATCTATCTGCTATTGGTGCAAACCGCTGTTGATCTATCATCTGCACAACAAACGCCATTTTCACTTCACACGGGGAGTCAGGAGCAGGGATGTGTGTGAGCTGGAACAAGAGTGTGTTCTTGACAGTTCCGCTGATTAAGGTTCTGGCAGTCGAGAGGAGGGAGCAAGCCTCGAAAAAGGAAGAGCTGGAAACTGAGGAGGAGAAAAAGAAGAAAGATTTATGGAAGATCTGAAAGGAGAGATAAATGACAGCCAAAATATCAGATTGCAAGAATGGGAGCAGAAGAAAAATAAAGCAGGTGATTAGCGCAGAAAGAAAGTGAGAGGGGAGGGATGGAGATGAGAGGAAGCCATATCTTCAGACGTCTCTGCTTTCAGTCGCACATGTGCGGATGCGAGCATAAAGGACACTCAGCGAGGGATTGTGCAGCGACTCCGGCTGCTGTCTGAGAAGTGATGACTGTATGTAAATGATGCTCCACTGGATTGTGTGTCTGTGTACAAGTTGTCATAAAGTCGTTTATCAAGCAGCCGTATCGCTGCCATGCATCTGCAGCAGCTTCTGCTCTTCATCCTCTTCCTCGTCCCACTGCTGAGCTTTCTCTGGTCTTCCAGCCACTACAGTTTGTTTCCAGATATTTTCTAAAGTGAAGCTTTTAAATGGTGCTTTGTCCCACTCTCTAGTGTTCCACCACCGTTAATGGCTGCTTTTCTAAATATTTCTGGAGCAGGTTTATAGGAGGTGGAGAACAGATTAGCATGTGTTCAGTTAAAGGGTTCTTCCACCACTTTCTCACTGTCCTGTGATCACAGCAGCTGTACAACATTTGTTCTTGCTTTTCCACAGTTAAAACCAACCAGTGCTGCCATCAGCGGTCAGTTTCAATCAGCTGAGAGTCACACAGGTTTCAGAAGAGCCTCTGAAACACAACAGCTAAATCTACTGTCCTCCGTAGTCTTACAGAAAGCCTTCCAACTGGACGCTGGTTTGTGTGACAGTGTTCAGACGGAGCAGAGCAGCCGTCTGCATCCAGCACAGTGTTGAGCTGCAGGTCGTCCTTGTTTTGTGGGCACCTCCAGGCCAGCATGCACTCAGAGCTGTAATGAAATCATAAACAGACTCGAAGCACAACAGTTTGGTTTGGTAGTGTTTAGTGGACGGCTGAGTTTATCTGAAGAGGAGCTGATCTCTCCAATCAGACACGCATAAGATGGACAAATGAAAGAAACGTGTCTGAACTGCCGTCTGTGTCGAAGCGGGCTGATGTGTGTTTGTGAGTAGAACAGCTTTTATTGTTCCTCTCTGGTTAGCGGCCCCCTGAACGCCTCACTCTGAATCCCTTTGTCTGGACTCATTTCCAGTCAGGTCATTTCCAGGTCACATCGCTCATTCACACAACGAGGATAAAGCCTTTACCTTCCCGTAGCTGTGCACTAACCTGGTATAAACTCTGCTCAGCTGTTCAGTCAGTAAACAGGTCCAGGCAGGAACCAGAGGGTTCTGACAGAGGGGTTCTCCTGACCGCTGGAAAAGCAGGAATCACCTGCTAGCCCACTGGTCAGTGTCCTGCTAGAGTAAGAAGTTTGTTGTTCCTTAGTTTGTTGTGCTAATGAATGTTCTGGACCCTCCTCAGGATGTGATTGGAGAATCAATCAGAGGGTTCCAGGGACTGTTTAAATCCTAATCCATCCATAACTGATGGTCAAATGACCAGTTGTTGTAACCAGATCCATGGAAGCTGCTGCTCTCCAGAGCAATGACCACCGTTATTAGACTTCACTCTGACTGCATCACATCATCACCACACGTGTTCCTCATGCAGACTGATGGTTTTGTTTTTTAGTGACCAATGGGAGCTACTCTCACATGGATGAGGAAGAAGACGGGGTGCTGTATGGACACGACGCTGACTTCAGCAGCTCCGTCCAGCACTCCTACCTGCAGGAAAGGTCTGTGGCAGAGTTCATACTTTGATTCAGAGCTGGTAGACATGATCGCTCAGGAGTAAGTGATTCACAAACACATGATGGTTCATCTGTCTGTTGTTAACTTCAGGGAAGGTTGGGGATACGATTAGTCTCATTTGTCATTTATTTTCTAAAACGTGTGAAACATGGTTTATAGTTGTGACATCACGGCTTCACATGCACTGCATCCGTCTGTGTTGCATCAAGCACGGATCCAGTTTCCATGTCGTCTGCACCCGGGTCACACAGAACCACATTCTAAGTGAAGATGAAGTCAGAACAGACTTCAGGAGCTGAGTTCAGCTGTGTGCTCTTTTCACCGAGGCTGTAGCGACCACACTGTCAGGAGTGACCGTCTGATCGATTTGTTTCAGGGAAAGCTCTCACATCTCCTGCCCGGCTCAGCCCCAGTCTCCCACCCAGAACCAGAACCAGAACCAGCGGCAGTTCCAGCACGTCAAAGCCTCCAAGAGCATGGACCTGGGTACGACTCAGAACCAGCATCACACTGGTGGGAAGGTTTTTTCTGTTTATCTGCTCTGCATGGTGGCTGCATGAATCCTCACGTTCCTGCTGATGCATGACTGCTGCAGCGCTGGAATGCTCCTTAGTGCCACATGCAGGCCCACAGCAGTGCAGACTGTGCACACGCAGACACAGCTGCAGGTGGGGCCTCTTGCATACCTTCTGTGACTGCTCTCATTAACTTTGCTGTGTGCCTGCTTGGTTGGAAACGTGATGTGGTTGGTCCCTGAGACGTGGCTGCTGTGTGATTGTCCTGCCTGTTCGCTGTAGTCGTGTGTGTGTGGCACACGCTACAAATTCAATCATGGTATTATATATATGTATATATATATATATTTTATAATATCACACATTTGTTCCATAAACGCTGCAGGAATGGTCTCATTAGAAACACGTGCAGATGGGGGAGGATGTAGTTGTATCGCATGAAGCTCAGCTTTCATTCACTGTTTAAAAAGCTTGTGACAAAGGAAAGGGAGATGCTCCACTGTAAGTCCAGGATTTGAATTCAGCTTCATGTTGGTCTTTTATTTATGCAAACAAATGTCAGAGAGGGAAGTTCTGCTGCCGCCGCTGCCCGACGTCTTTGTTGCATGTTGCTCTCTGATTACCGATACGGCGGTGCGAGGGTTTACTGACATTTCAGCGCCCGTTAAAAAGTCAACTTTAGAACTACGTGCATGTGTCTGCGCCTGTGCATACATCAGTGTAATATGACAGTGGATGCAGCAGCAGCACAACAAAAGCATATTGTTTCAAATGTCACTTCCCTCAGTCCTCCTCCTCCAGCTGGCTCTGCTGCAGATGTGTGTGTGTGTGTGTGTGTGTGTGTGTGTGTGTGTGTGTGTG